AAGAGTGGAGGGGAAGGGAGGTCTGTGCAAAGGCTTTAGAGCAGGGCAACCTGGCCTTATAACCCGTGTGTGGATATGGAAAGGCTACTTTAAACTTTCAGCTATGATATATTTCTCTTTTTTTGAGTCATCTATTATATGTTTCTCTCTTTTAACATTGTACAAGTGATACGAGACAATGTATACAAAGAACTGGCATGGAGTGGGCAGTAAGTGCAGTAAATATTAGTAATAAGAGTCTAATAACGGGAGTAGATGCTCAGGAAAACAAGGCACTTTACTAACAAAGAATAGACCAAAATCCTTATTTTGTCTCTTTGAAATGAGGTAATTAGACAATTGAATGTTTTAGTAGTTAGGGTGTTTCTTTTGATAACAGCACCAGTAATGAAGAGATCCTGTACTCCAAAGTAAAATACAGTATTTTGGTGAATTTTATGGAGCATAAGGCACTGAAGCTGTCCACCTGTTTATCACCCAACAATATTACTTACTTGACATTGATATTATTTCCTCAATAATCAGCTCCATGGTAAGAAAAATATTTGAAGGCCAGAAAGGACTATTTATGTCTGCACAATTCTTGGACCCCTAGCACCCATATCCACTGTATAGTTTCTTTGCGATAAAGTATACAGAGCAGAAAATACAGGTTTCTTTGATTGGGATTTTAAAAGATATTTAGGATTATGTATACATGTGGTACCACACACTCGTCCCCTGGCTATCAAGGATCTGAACCCATTTTCTACAAAATATATCGTTTAAGTATGAAAACTCCGAAAGCTTACGTGCTTTACTATCTCTGTTTTTTAGCTCAATGCATAACATTACATTTGGAACCCTTCAAATATTAAATTAAAAGGAAGTTTATAAAATAAATGTCACATTTTAAAAATGTTTCTCTTTAATAGAAATGTTTGATATTGAGTTTCAACACCATGTTAAAAGACCTAAAGATTATCATATATTATCAGATGTATTGAGTCATAAATAAATTATATTTCTAAAGGATGTCTATTTTGAATTATGTTTTCAGATTGCTATGGTCTGAATGCTTGTGTTCCATCCAGAAATGTATTTGTTGAATCCTATCCCCCCACGGTGATGGTTTTAGAAGATAGGGCCTTTGGGAGGGGAGGAGGTCCTGAGGGTGGAGCCTCATGAATGGGATGAGTACCCTTAATGAAGTGCCCCTTGCCCCTTCCACCAGGTGAGGACAAGGCAAAAGGTGCCATCTACGAACCAGGATATAGGGCCTCACCAGACACTATCTGCTAGTGACTTATCTTGGAATGCTCATCTTCCAGAACAGTGAAAAACACATTTCTATTGTTTATAAGCCACCCAGTTTTGGGTATTTTGTTATAGCAGCCTGAACATACTTAAACACAGATGTTATGAAAGAAAAGTCTTATTTTGTTTTATATAAATATGTAAACATATATATCACAGAAATACGTAATGTCATATATATATATAAAATATAGTAAATATATAAAATCCACATTTTCAAAATATATTCCATTTAGAAATAATTTACCCAGCATTCCTTTAAGTAGTCAGTTCTTGTAGCATATTTTTAATAGAGGGAAAACAGTCATGTGCAATGTAAAAAGCACTTACATTAGTAAGAACAGTTTGGTTTGCAAGCTTTAGAAACTCAATTCTAACTAACTTAAGTAAACCAAATAGAAAAGGGTAGGTGTAGTGGGGAAAGCAAGTCAGGTATATAAAATATATTGTTTATGCATGAAGACTTTGAAAGCTTACCTGCTCTATCTTATACTTATCTAGAACACCAGTTGCAAGCACTGTAATTAAGGAATTCTAATACAGTAACAGAAACACTCAGGAAATCCTTACCATTTCTATTTTTCAGTTCAATGTGTAATATTATATTTGCATCCACAGGCTCAAGAGTTGCAAACACAGATAAGAGATTTGTTGTTTAAAAAAAAAAAATACTTGCAATGTTGACCAACAAGAGATATTGAGGTGTTAAGATGCTAAGAGAGGAAAATGAAATAACACCACAAGCAGAGTAGATTGGAAGAACTGATTAGACTCAAAGATTCTGAGATACGGTCCTATCCCTGGAGCAGAGGCGTGGACAAGCATCCCTTATCCATGTCCATTTCTCCCCCTTTATGGGATACAGGATAAAATCTCCTGGGAGGGAGTATTGGAGAGGAAAAGGAGCCATCAAGCTGAAGCATTTTGTTCATGTGCTGGGTGCTACTCTAGGCACCTCTTAGAGGTAAAGGTTTCCTACTCTGTAGCTCCTGGTGCACAACCAGGGTATCTCTGTGTGGCTTTGCAATACCACATCATCGCACCTCTGTAATTACACATCAGATGTCTCCCTACCCACTGGACTCTTGCATCCCTGATGATAAGGGCTAAATTATTTCAACTGTGTAGGCCCTGTACCAATGCAACTTTTGCTATACAACGCATGCTTAATAATTATATGATAAATGGCTAAATAAACCCATTTGAAACTACATTACTAAGGAAAACAGAAGAGCAAAAGTAAGCAAATTAATCACAGAAAAAAACATTTTAAAGGGCAATTAAATTACTGTATATTCAGATCACAATGGTAATTTACTTAAATCCAACATCCAAAACAAATATTTATTGATCATATACTATGTGCCAAGTGCTAGGCTTGGCAATGAGATGACAAAGACAAATGTGAATGAATATGATATTATTCCTTACACGAGAAAGCTGAACTCTTTTAGTTTTTTCTTTAGAGATAAGGTCTCATTACCTTGCCCTGGCTGAAGATGAACTCTTAGGCTCAAGTGATACTCCCACCTCAGCCTCCTGAGTGGCTGAGACTACAGGCACATGCCACCTCACCCAGCTGGGAGCTGAACTTGTAACTAGTTACATGGAGATACGATATGAGGCAGAAGGGAGTAAGGAGGAAACAAGTTTAAAATTTTAGGAGTTAAATTATGGAGCATTTTGCTGTTCCAAAGAGACTTACCTTTGGTGAGATCTCACTCTGCCAGCCAGGTGTAGAAATAGTGGATGCTCTTATCTTTCCTTTATGTGAAAGAGTCCAAAGTTGTGGCGTTCATCCAGGCTGACCGGTGATAAAGCTTTCATCTGTCTCCTGAATCAAGCTGCTGACAATGTCCAAGTACAGGAAATATTTGTTCTGTCAACGGCATCCCAGATTCCAGTTCTGTGAATCCAGTCTCTCCTTAAATTTCTGATGCCACGACATCACTTTAAACCAGACCACCAGTCTTAGTCCATTCAAGCTACTATAATAAAGTATCATTGACTGGGTATTTATAAAAGAAATTTATTTCTCACAGTTCTGGAAGATGGAAGTCTGAGATCAAGATGCCAAGATGATCAGGTTCTGAGGAGGGCCCTTTTCCAATTTGCAGTCTGCCGTCTTCTTGTACTTGTATCCTTACATGGTGGAAAGGGAGCTCTGGGGTCCTTTTTCTAAGAGAACTAATCCTATTCATGAAGGCTCCACCCTCGTGACTTAATTACCTCCCAAAGGCCCCACCTCCTAATATCATAACCTTGGGGTTATTTTAATATGTGAATTTTGGAGGTATCCCTTCAGACCATAACATAGCCAAAGGGGTTAGACAAGTGCTTCAGGATTCTGTTAAAATGCAGACACCGATTCAGGACATCAGGGATGGGACCTGGGATTCTTCCTTTCTCATGAGCTTCCTGGAGAATGCAGTTCTGGGGAGGATCACATTGGACTTAAAGAGTTAGAGGATTGTGGAAGGTTTAAGGACTGGAGTGTGTCCTGCATTTTCCTAATGTAGGTTGTGCCTTCCCTTTCAATTCCGGTGGCAGTAAAGAATTCTGAGTAATGCAGTCACTCTGTAATCAGAAAATAAGGTGTTTTCAGGATCTATTTTCTGTAAAGATTAGTTACATGAATTAAAAACAAAATACCTTTCCTAGTCATCACATCAAGGAGTCACAGGTGTTGTTGGCCAGAGGAGACACCCCAGAAGAGAGAGAAAGAAAAAGCCCAAGCCAGAGGCAATTTGTAGAGCTTCACCCCTTCTCCCTGCTTTGCTTAAGGTAGAGACTCTCTCGCCATCTCCCAGATGCTCCTTTGTAGCCTCAGAGAAAGTAAATCTCTGTCCTTAAGCCAGGGGACCTGGGGAGCCTTCAATCACAAAGTCAGAGATTCCTCCAGGCTTGGTTATTAGGATTAGATAGGGAAAACACTGTTCGGGGAGAGAGAGAATTGTCAGAGTCCTTTAAATCTTGGTGACCATAGCAGGCATCTTGGCGGTCGTTGAAGCTGCTTAAGTCTGAGCCAGTAGCGCCAGAGGACACAACGACCACCTGCTCACGGCCCCCTATGTGGAACGAGCTTTCCAACTTAGCTCTCTCATTTCATCATTTCAAACTGCACATGAAGCACACGGGAAACTCAGAGAGGTTATGCTACCTGCCCAAGGTCACACAGCATAAGGTCAACTAAGGATGTGAAAGTTCCCCAGGATCATAGTCCAGCCTTTCTCTTATATGGCACTTCGGAAAAAAACTAAAGACAAGCCTTAAAAGGCTGCAGGAGGTCCAGCCCCTGCTTAGCCCCTGGACTCCGCCCCTAGCGGCAGCTGGACCACCCTGGCGGGCGCAAAGGTGAACAGGGAGGATTCACTTCTGGGAAACAGACGCGAAGAGAGATAGGCACTTCCGGGGCATAGAAAACGAGGATCATTAAAGGTCAGTAGGCTCGCAGGTGACGGCCAAGTAGCGTTAATAGGTACGCAGGGATTAAAACACCTCTCTAGAGTCCACATCCTAGAGTGGTGTGGACATGTCTCTAAACATCTCTCTAGGTACTCGAAGATAACATAACTCTAAACGAGTAAGTCTTGCCTGAGCTGGAGGACGCTCCGATCTGGCAGCCAGGTTAAGTACAAAAGTTTACCTAAAGCAGGCGGAGCCGAACAGACGCCGGCGTCGGCGCGATGACGTCACATACCTGCGCGGGAGGCGGCACTTACCCCTGCCGCAGGACTTTACTGGGCAGGCTCGCGGCGAGCGTAGCCCGGCCTTCATAGGCGGAAGAGGGTTGAGTGACGGTCCAGCCCCGCCTTCTGGTTAAAGGGACACGTTCAACACGGAAATGTCCCGGGGCTGCATTGGTAGGGAACCGTGGGGCCTAGCAAGGGCTTGGAGGGTTGCGGGGTGTTTCTGCGAGACTGATGCGGGCACCACCCTGGCCCCGCCGGCCTCCAAGTCACCGGAGGGCACTGAGCCTGTGCTGACCGGGCCTGGCCTCCTCGATGCTGAGCACTCAACCCTCTATCCGTCCCCATTTGCAAAAATGGAATCAAAACTGGGGCTTGGCCCCGGATCGGTGACCGGGACTCAGTCTACGCGGACGCCAGCGCAGCCTGCGGCGGCCGAGCCTCCTGCCCTCACAGGGCCTGGCCGGGTGCATCAGAACAGGCTGTCTTAGGTCCCTAAATTCGAGGCCTTGGCAATGTGCCTGATGTTGGGGTCCTTGAATGGGGCCCTTCGGCCCCCAGGGAAACCCTGAGACCCTCAGAATGGACAGCCTTGTAGAGGCACGATTTCATTCAAGTGGGCAAATTCTGCCCACTGAGGAATAGGAAAACATATAATTTTGTATTTAGATGTATTGCAAGTATAAAGTGGCGTGGCTGATATTGCATGGGGCCTTAATTTGCCTTCACCAGTCATGACCTCAGTTTGTCTTGAGATACTTGGCAAAGAAATGTATTGCATTGTTGAGTGATTGCTTATTGCGTTACTGAATAATTGTATTGATGTTTATAAAAATGTGGGTGCTCACAATAGAAATTGGGAAGGGGAGTACGGAGCTATATTTGACATTTTCTGATACACTTACCCAGAACAAATGTGTTTTTCATTTGGAATTTGATACAGTCTGTAATAATTTTCTCTTTCCATAATAGTAGCGCCTCCCTCACCCTGCAAAACGTTTCAAAGTGTCAAGAGAAAAGACCAAATGCCCTTGCCATCTGTAATCCTACATCTGTTTCTTGACAAGTAATTAAATCTTAGATTGCATAATAATCTATGTACCGAATAAATGTGGAACGTTGTAATTTTTTTTTTTTTTTTTTTTTGTACTGTTGAAGACTTGGGTCAAGGTGAGGAGAGAAAGAAAATGTTTCTTTGAAAGATTCCTGTGTTTAATTAGAATGAATTGAAACGACTGTGCTTAAAACGGGATAATGTTAGAAGAAAGCCTTGGAACAATGATCAGCATAAGACTACACAGTACCTGGTAAACTATTCCAACTTAACAGTATTTTTTGTTTTTTGTATTGCCAGTGCTGCAGCTAGAATGAAGCACATCAACTTGTCATTTGCAGCGTGTGGATTTCTGGGCATTTACCACTTGGGGGCAGCATCTGCACTTTGCAAACATGGCAAAAAGCTTCTGAAGGATGTCAAAGCCTTCGCTGGTGCTTCTGCGGGATCCTTGGTTGCTTCTGTTCTGTTAACAGCACCAGATAAAATAGAGGTAATTAAGTAGTAACTTAGGCTGTGTTCCTCATCAAGAAATTAAGACTCAAAGCAAACATGAGCATTGACTCAACTAAGTTAACACTGCAGAGAAATAATCCTTTGCCTTGGAAACAGGATTAGGACTTCTCTTTTAAAATGTAATCATTAGGGATCTGTGCTCTGGTTGTGGAAAAGATTATTTTGGGTGACAGTGAAATAAGGAAATAAAATGCCTTATATTACTCTTGAGTTTTTATTTATCCTTAAGATTCTAGCTCTGTTCCTTTCAAGCAAAGAATATTTGTTTCTATGCTCATGAGAAAAGCAAGGGGCCTGTTTTCAAGGTCATGAACATGTGGACAACAAGTCTGTACTCACTGCTACTTAGAAATAGATACATAAATTAAAATGTGGGCATGCAGTTTCTGTTAAGTGGTATAGGAATTTAATTCCTTTCTAATTCTCACAGTAAGAGGAAGCTCCGAGTTCCAAGCAATTTATCCAGAACTAATACAAATGAGTCTTCATTAAGTATTTTATTTAATGCAATCTATGTTTTAAAAATCTGTTTTCTGCTAGCCACACAGTGATCAATTATTTGCTGACTGTGAGAACTGGATTCTGTAGTTGGAGAATATTATATATATATATTTTTTCTATATTGTAGTTTTTCATTTCTTAATCATTACATACTCTAGCAGCTTTGAACAATAGTGAAATAACAATTTAACATCTCATGCCCAAGAATGAATTTCAGTCACATTTAAAATTCCAAAACTATGCAATTTTAAACATCAAAATCTCATTGCAGATGTGTTGTGAGCTCCTTATCAAAGGGAAGCTAGGTTTGAGGCCAATCATTCAGAAATCCACTTATCTTCCTGTCTTTATATGGTTGATTTACAGGGAACTAGAAAAGTGATTTCAAACTGCCAAGATTACACAGGATGAGAACCTTAAGTCATGCAAGGTATAAATGAGGTTGGAAAATTTCCCCTAAACTAGCAGAATCATATGCTTTGAATTATAAGCTACCTCTTTCCCATAACTGTGTTTCGTTTTTGAAGCAGAGGACTCACAGGGCGTCACTTCTTCCTTTTTACTGCAGTCTTTCCTTCAGCTATGGCAAATCCTGAGCTCTGGAGTTACGTAGACTTGGTTTCTAATTCTGAGCAAATTAAAAAATGTATTGTATGATTTAGAATTAACCTGATTTGGAAATACTGCAATAATACAGCCACTTATACTTAACTGAAATTCTGCCATGTTGAGACACTGAATAATTTACCTGAATTGGAGACTTGATATCATCATATTCTCAGTTCAGTTTACCTGTTGTTATTTATTTTTTGCACCAAATGAGAGGCTGGGTTGTGTTGTCTGATGGTGTTGGTATGATGAAAAGGTGTCTTTTTCTGGTACTCCCATGGGAAGGTGGAAAATAATTTTCTTTGTTTTCTTGGGGCATCCTCATTTGTTCTTCAAAATAATTTTTCAGCTGTAGTAACCTTTTGACTTAAGGTTATATTATTTCCTTTATTTTTAGCATTTGAAATAATCTACCTGTAGGACAGCCTTGAGTTTTTTTTAGCAAATGTTTCTACCTACTCAGATTTACGTTCACTCAGTTCTCACTGATGGTGTAAGTTCCTCAAGTTTTTTACTGTTGTGACAAATACATGTGTAATTAATCTTGTTCTGAGCTTAGGCATGAATAATTAAGAGGGGCACCTGATGCTGGGCATATTTTAGGTGGTAGGCAAATTTAGACATTGATATGGAAGAGCTCAGTGCTGCAAGCCGTTCCTCAGCCCTCACAATTTGCAGGGAAGCCATGGTGCTACACTCAGTGGGGAAGTCAAAGATGAATTGTTCTAGGATATGTAGAGTATTGAATATAACTAAAATGAGTACAAAGAAATAGGGTAGATGGGCAGTCTAGCTCAGTAAAATGAACATACATTTTGTAGGGCTACCCACATTTCTCACCTAGAAGCTTCCTGCAGCCTATATCAATTCAAGCTGCCTACACTCCACCCACCTCATGGCACTTAGAGTGATGTCACCCAAAGGCACATCTCATCACTTCATTGCATCCCCCGCCACCCCCCGCCGGGGCAGGGGCTCTCTGTTGACTTAGGATAATGTGGCCTGGGTTTCTCAGCATGCATCACAAGGCCCCATGTGACTTAGTCCTACTTGTGGCACACCACAGGGACACATTTCAGCTCTGTGCCCCTCTCAGAGTTGTTCTTGCTCTTGTTTTTACTATCCTCTGCTTTCACCTTTGTCCCCTGTCCCATTCCTGTTTATATTTAAGTCCCAGCCCGGGTAACAAATTGGAGGGAAACCTTTGGCAACCCATGAGGTTGGAGATTGACACCCACTCTATTCATTTTATGTTGCTGCTTTGACAAAAGACTTTCAAGTTCGTGGCTTAAAACAGCATGTGTTTATCATCTTCCAGCTCTGGAGGTCATAAGTCTAAAAGGGCCTCACTGGGCCAAAATTAAAATGTCCATGCTCACTCTCTCCAGAGTCTCCAGGGGAGAATTCATTTCCTTACGTTTTCCAGTTTCTGGAGGGTGCCCAGACACCTTAGCTCCTGACCCCTTCCTTGATTTCTAAAGCCATAAGCACAGTGTCTTGAATCTCTAGCTCTGGCTCTCCCACCTCCCTTCTTCCCTTACAAAAACCCCTGTGATGACATTGGGCCTACTCAGGTTATCCAAAAGTATCTCCTCATCTCAAGTTCCTTAATTGCATCTAAAAGTCCCTTTTAACATAGCAGGTTTCCTAGTCACAGGTTCTGGGGACTAGAATGTGGACATCTTTGTGGGGAGAAGAGAGACCACTGCAATAATATAGCCACTTAACTGAAATTCTGCAATGTTAAGACATTGAATAATTTACCTGAATTTGAGACTTGATGTCCTCATATTCTCAAATCAGTTTACCTGTTGTTATTTATTTTTTGCACTAAATGAGAGCAAAACACACCTCATGGGGGCTCCCATAACCCTCTGTGACCTGCTCTTGGAGGCACTACAATTCTCATGAGCACAGATTCTTTGCATCTTGTCGTCTTCAAATCCCAGTGCCTAGCCAAATCCCTGGTGCCCAGTTAGTTGCTACATTAATTCATTATTTAGTACAAAACAGACTTGAGTGCAAATCCTGACTCTGAGACTCATTTTTAATGAAATATTGGGACAGGCACTTGAACTCTCCAAGCCTCCGTTTTCTTATCTGTTAAGTGGGGTGGTTATACCCAAGTTGCAGGATGATATGAAGATGAACTGACACTGTCACCTCTGTGGATCCCAGTTCAGGGTAGACACGAGCATCCCTGAAAATCTTTATAAAATACCAGTGTCCAAGATGAATCTCTGAAGACTCTGATTCAGTCTGTGCAAACCATAGACATCACCACTCCTATTTCTGTCACTGGTGCTGTCATTTGTAATCAACTCTGTTATAGGGTTGTAATCAAACTGCTGCTGAGACCACAAAACTGGGGTAAGAGAGAAGGTTAATTGCACTGAGGAAACCTTTTGAAGAATGTGCTTAATTAAAATTCAGATTGCGCCTTCAAGGGTTTTTCAGATGAGGGCAAAGGCCATTTAAGGTGCTTTACAAATGAAAAAAACAAACAACAAAAAAAAAAGGATTAGGATTGTAAGAATGTATAACTCACAAAGGGCCTGAGAATGGTGGGTGAGGCCCTGGCCAGGGGGGGAATTTGCACACCTTTAATGATGTGACACCCTACATTTGCTGTTGGGTCTATAGAATCTCCTTAGAAGTGGAATGATTTCTTTCTTTATAACACATAGAGTCACTTCTTAATTTTCTTTTTCTAGGAATGTAGCCAATTTACTTACAAGTTTGCTGAAGAAGCCAGAAGGCAGTCTTTCGGGGCAGTAACACCTGGTTATGACTTCATGGCCCGACTAAGGTATGCAGAGTACATTTTGCCCAAAAGTACATGAAGACAGAGTGTTGACGACTCTCTGTACAAACTGTGGCAAGCCCAGCATCCTCTCTTGTAAAATATTTACAAGGCATTCAATAATTAAAGGTGAATAATGCAGATTGATTTTTCTTCTTTAGAAGTGGAATGGAGTTGATTCTTCCTTCCAATGCTCATGAGCTGGCTCAGAACCGACTGCACGTATCCATCTCCAACACCAAAACCAGAGAAAATTACTTAGTCTCCAATTTTTCCTCCAGAGAGGACCTTATTAAGGTAACGGAACCACATTTCCCATTTGAAGAAATCAGCAAGTACTGATTTCAATACTTCAAATAAAGTAATGAATATCACCACGTTCTTTAGATCCTGTGTCTGTTATCAGGCCCTATAGATGGTTAAGTGCTCAGTAAATTACGTGTTTGATGAAAGTATTCACCAGGATCCTTCCTGAGGCTGCTGCTCCATGATGCACTGTGATCCAGAAGCTCCTTGTACTTGTCAGTGTTTTCCTTCAATATTCAGATCTCACATTGATCATGTGATGCAAGTAGCTGGCAAAGTTTAGTAGCAATAATAATTCCTGAAATTTATGTAGCAGTGATGTAGGGTTTTTAACATGTACTCTCTTATTCAATCCTTCAAGTCCTTCTGTAAATCAGGTAGGACACGTGTTATTGTGACCCTTTTATGTTTTTGTTTTGAGATGGAGTCTCACTCTGTTTCCCAGGGTGGAATGCAGTGGTACAATCTCGGCTCACTGCAACCTCCGTCTCCCAGATTCAGGTAATTCTCCTGCCTCAGCCTCCTGAGTAGCTGGAATTACAGGCATGTGCCACCATGGCCACCTAATTTTTATATTTTTAGTAGAGACAGGGTTTCACCATGTTGGCCAGGCCGGTCTTGAACTCCTGACCTCAAATGATCTGCCCGCCTCAGCCTCCCAAAGTGCTGGAATTATAGGCATGAGCCACCATGCCTGGTGCCTTTTAAGTTTTTAACAGAGAAGTGAATGGAAAGATTTTATGTGATGTACGTACCTATGTACCCAAGATTATCCTGCGTGACAGCGGGAGCCAATTCTGGTACCCAGGTCTCTTAACTTTTCAATCTAATATTCCATTTTATTTCTTCCGTTTTGTTCTAATGTCTTTCAGTCCAAACACATTTGAAAGTTGATTGGTTGAGAATTCATTATCTCTGGTAAATCCTTCAACTGATTGATTTCCAAATAACAGTGTGCTTACTGTGGTAATGCACTGAATATTTGTAAGGTAGAAAGGGTGTACTTCTCTTGAAATTTTTTCTTGTTTTTCTCTCTAGTGTAAATTGTAACAAGCTTCAGGTAACATAGAAAATGTAGGTTTTGATACAGCAGAAAGTAATGGGTTGAGAATAAGTGGTAAAATCCCATCTATTTGGACACTGCCATTTGAAATACTTAATGAAATGTTGAATTGACAAGTAAAATTACTTTGCCACTTAATAGTTTAGAATACTTTTCCTTGGTGTCCCTATTACATCAGTCTCTCACTTATAAATTAAGAGTCTTGCTATCTTAGAAAAAGGCATTTTTCTATTATCTTATTACAATATAATGTAGACTTGACAGTGTAAAGGGAAGAGCTGGGCAACACATGCTAAGTGATCCTAAGTCATCCATGTCCAATACAGACAGAGAAGGCTTGCAGTGGGCAGGCATGTATCTTCTTGTTTACCTCGGAACAGACTGTGTGCTATTGTGACATGAAATGAGGGGGATTCTGCCCCCAGCCCTCACTTTCTCACAGAGTCCATCCCTGGCTTCTCTGTCTACAATGACAGAACTCTTAGCCCCTGACCTTCCTACATCCAATCCTGATTTATGTATCACTGTTTAGCATGCTACCTCTTTTAGTGCTGTCTTGGTTAGCTTGTGTTGTCCATCTTCCTTCACCAGAATGTAAGCTCCAAGAGACAGGGATTTCTCTGGTTTGCTCACTGCCGTGGCCCAGTACCTGCCTCACTGCCAGTCATTGTACGTATAGGCACTTGGTAATATGTGTGAAACAAACGGATATGAACCAAGGTGCCATCTGTTACACTGGCCCGATTTAAAACAAAAGAAAAGAAAGAAGCTAGGCCCTCCATACTCTATGACCTGGGCAAAATTACATAGCTGATGGGGCCCAGCTGGGACTGTGGTCCATGTGTCTAGCATTCTTCCCTAACTATATCCCATGCTGGATAAAATGCTCATCCATCTTCTGTCTTCTGGTAGACAGAAGAATGACAGCCAAAGGTGTCCTTACCCTAATTCCCAGAACCTGTCCAGATGTAACTTTACCTGGCAAAAGGGATTCTGTAGATGTGATTAAGTCAAAGGTCTGAGATAAGAGGATGATCCCGTGTTATCCAAGTGGACCCAAACTAAATACATGAATCTTGAAAAATGGACACCTTTCCTGGATTCTGTGTACCGTGGCTTGTTTGGAGATGTAGGAGCCACATACCAGGGGAGCACAGAGGCTTCTAGGAAAACAGTTCCCCGCTGACAGCCAGCCAAGAAAAGGGGCTCTCTGCCCTGTAACCTGTGGAACTGAATTCTCCTAACACCCTGAAGGAGAGACACATTCTCCCCCACAGCCTCCAGAAAGAGACACAGCACTGCTGACACCTGGATTTTCCCCAGGGAGACCCATACCAGACTTTGGATCCCCAGACTGTATGACAATACTTTTGTCTTTTTTAAAGCAGTTAAATTTATAGTAATTGTTATAATGGAAATAGAAAACTATTGCTGTTAAGTAAACATGACGTTTTTCTAGTTCCTTTGTTTTGGATAATAACTATTCAGAGAATTGCTGTAATTACTTGAGTTCATTGAACAGAAGAGAAATTGTTGATATAAATGTATGATACTTTGTAAGGAGAATATCGAATAATTGACATTTATTCTAGGTTCTACAAGAAACATTCTACATGTTTAGGAGGATGTTTTAACATTTTTCAGAACTAAAAAGAAGGAAGGATGAATAGTTAGTTCCTTGATAGCAGATGGTGACTATCAAACTGTGTGAAACCTATGCCTGGAATACTCATGAAGCATTTAGCAGAAAAGAGTGAGAGGACAGGAAGACTAGGGATGATGGAGCAAAGGAAGAAGCATGAAGGGGAAGTAAAATAAACCCCCTGTCAGGTAGGGACATAATCAAGTGTATTTGTTCCATTGAAAGAGGCTGGTGGGAGAATGTGGCATGAGGTGATACCATGGGAGGATGGTAGTTCTGACCTTTTTGGTTGGGGTTTGGGGAGGCTGCCTGAAGGTCACACCACTCCCCTTAGATGGAGATAGGAGGCTCTGAGTTCCTGAAACCATGTACTGAGGCAGCTCAATGATGGGTAGCTGTGGATATCCCAGGGCTTGGCATACCTGGCTCTGAGCACACAGCCTGGGGTCTTGATATGGTTTCTCTGTGCCCCCACCCAAATCTCACCTTGAATTGTAGTTCCCATAATTCTCATGTGTTGTGGGAGGGACCCAATGGGAGATAATTGGATCATGGGGATGGTTTCCCCCATCCCATCCTGTCCTTATGGTAGTGAATAGTCTCAGAACATCTGATGGTTTTATAAGGGGTTTCTGCATTTGCTTCTCTCTCCTCTCTCTTGCCTGCTGCCATGTAAGACGTGACTTCCACTATTTGCCTTCCACTATGATTGTGAGGACTCCCCAGCCACATGGAATTGTGAGGCCATTAGACCTCTTTTTCTTTTTTCTTTTAATTTACCCAGCCTTGGGTATGTCTTTATCAGCAGTGTGTAAATAAAGTAATACAGGTCTACTTCTTAGTATCTGGATATTCTGTAGATGGAGGGGTTGGGGGACACAGAAAAAGAGACAGTTGATTAAAACTCAAGATAGAGTAAAAGAGCATAGGAGACCATGAGATACTAAACACTGATTATTTTTACCTCCTTTAAACTTTGCTCCATGTATTTTCTGTGTGTTTTTATCATTAACTCATTTATTCTGCTACTTAATAGTTGATTTTTTAAATGCCTAGTTTTTCATCACTCACTAGCTGACTGATGCTGTTTGTTACAGAGAGTCTCTATGTACCTGAAAATCCAACTAGAAACTTATAGCTTAGAATGTGTGAGTGTGTGTGTGTGTGTGTGTGTGTGTGTATTTTAAAGTCTTTTTGAATGCCCTCAAGGATGATTACTTGTTTTATGAGTGTCCTGATGATCATGTCTAGGCCTGTTGTTTCCTAATGTTGTCCTCTTCGACTTATTATTTTTGAGCCTCAGTTTTCTCATCTCTGAAATGGAGTAATTTGCACAGTAATACTAACTAGTGTTGCTGTGTGGAATAAATAAGATAAAGCATGTGAAAGTGTGTTTTAAATGGTAAACCCATTTATGCATGCTGAATGGAGCCAGTATTTCATAAATAATGAATAACATAATAAGTCACACACACCCCTGCTCAGTGCCCTTGTATAAATCTGTCATGAAATTTTAAAGCCATGTTACATCACAGCTTTTTTTTTCTTTAGGCTGAATAGGACTTACTTTTTCTTATCATTGTTATTCTTTACCCACTTACTTATCACCTGTCTTCGTGAACAACATGCTAACTGGTATCTATAATACTTCAGGAAATGGTTGCTCCTGAGTTTTTGCCACCGTTAGGCATTTGATTTCACAGCTCATCATTATAGGCCTTCTTTTTTAAGAGAAATAATTTTGTGTGATGATTCATACTTAATTTATCTTAATGAGCTTCACCTTTAGTGGCATGGAAAATCACTCATTTGATAGCTCCAATGCTAGTTGATTGTTTTCTTGGAACCCTTGCTGACTATGTGGTCCAACTATTCATTTTATTTGGGGTTGAATTTCCACAGAATTTTGAATCTTATGTCCATGGGTATTTAACTCAGTCTTTTCTATTTTATACACTGTTATAAGACAGATTCAGGCCTTAAGGCATTCCTTTGTTCAGAATTTATTAGTGCCAACCATTACCCTCCTTCCTAATAGTGACTATACCAACAAAGGGAAACACAGATGATGTCTGCTACTCAACTACTTGAAGGCGGCCTGCAGAGGGGAGATCCCTTTATAGAGTTAACCAGAGCTTCAGAAGGCCCCCCTCCAAAATCTTGTCTTTATTTTCCATCTATCTGAGAGATTTATTTCCAGGTGCCACACCCAGAAAAATGTTCCTTCTAAGGATCAAATTCATGACCCTTTATGTCTGTGGGCGCCAACAGATCAAGACCAAGCTGAGATCAGTTCCTGCAAATGCAGATAATTTATGGGATGGAAAAGAGTCATGGAGGGGTGGTGTACACCCACCTAACGCTGTCGTTGGTGGACTCTGGGGTGCTCAGTGAGTCTCAACTTCCTGGAGCCTTGCTTTCTTCATCTGTAAGATGGAGCCCTTTGGAACAAGGTCAAATGAAGTATGTTTGAAAGTATTTCATCAGCTCTTAAGTACATACCAGATGTGCATGGTCACCTTCAAGTGCCTCCACTCTCCAGACATCCATCTCTTTATACTGTACGTTATTTAACATGATTCCTTCCTGATACCTCTCCTGGTGTGCCACAATACACATTATACCCTGAGTGTCAAGTGTGTACATTTTACATACCAACTCATTCATTTCAAGTTCCAGATTTTATTGTGAGTTGTTTTTCTTTAGAAGCATGCATGCAACTAGGAAATCTAAACACATTTTAATATTAGCCTTCAGCAAACATAACTAGAGAGATGAGCCCCTTGGTTAAAGGAAAATCATATGCCTCCTCCAAGGCTGAGCAGAAGTGATGTGTAATTTAACACTGCCATGGTGTGGTGGAGTTCCACTACTTCCCTGAATTGGTACAAATCATTGAATTCTTCATGTTTAAGACTGATGCACAAGTGTTTTCTGAAAGGGTCTTTTGACACGTGTGAATGCTGTAGGATAGAGGTACCCAGGAAGTCTTTCCTGCACAGTAGTGTCCTGACCCTCCTGGGAAAAAATTGCCCTGTCTCTATTGTAGTGATGCCCTGAACTTCTTTGCATGTGTGAGAATGCTGTTAACAAGATCCTCTCACATTTAGCCTTGTGAAGGTGAAATAAGAACTGAATTTAAGATTCGTCATTATCTTGGAAAAACTGGGGAAGATAAATTTGAATCTGTCTTTGAATTTCAACTACACCAGCAGGTTCTGTATAAGCAGTTAGATTCTCATTAAAGTCCACAGTAAACTTTAGGCATAAATGAAACTTGAGAATTAATCCCTAAGGAAGCTAGGCCACATAATTTTCTAAACACCTCTTTTCTATAAAATGCAAAATGAATAGAGTCAATCAGAACGTGTTGGGAATGAGCACCTGGCAATGTTTTATACTGTTGCTAGAGGAAGTCACTAGCTCTCATTTTTATCATTGTGTATATAGTAAGAACACAAATCAGTGGTTTCACATATGTCCAACATTTAAAGCTCTGTACCAAGTGATGGGGTGTGAAAAGTATATTCCTGCTTGCTACATGAACGTTCTCAACCACAAACACTGCACTCCTAGCAGTAGGGGCCCAGATTATTACCCAGATAGTTATTTCTTCTGATAGCTGTCTGTGCTTCGTAGGAATTTTAGCAGCATTCCTGGTCTCTGTTCAGTAGATGCCAGCAGGACACCACCCACCCTCCACTCCAGGTTGTGACAGACACATTGCTAAATGTCCCTAGGGGATAAAATCACCCCAAGCTATAGCACCCCAGTGCTATAGACATGTTGAGATTCATTGGCGAGGTGAATTTCACTGGGAATATTGTGAGGTGAGATACACTAAAAGCACATGTTTAGGCATAGTATTTTATGACATGACCTTAGAATGTCAGCATCTCCTTTCTTAGGAAATCCTATTTGCCTGTAATAAAATGGCAGTAAGCTGACTACAAATAAGAAAAGCTGCTTAGCTCTTAGCTATCTGAAGCTAATTTCCCGACTAAACTTAGTTTGATATACAAATCGTCAGTCCATATAAAGGGAGAGTCAGCTATGACAAAAACAAATACATTGATTTGGAGGAGTGACAAGTATTTTCCAGTTCATTGCACTTTTCATATCATTCAGAAGGATTCTTACTGTTATCTTCTGTTGGAAAGTAATTGGATAGCATTTTTCATCCAAATATCTCAAAATAGTTCCAAGCATTAACTTGTGAACTCTGCATTATACTTTGACACAGGGGAAAAGAAAAAAAAAAACATACTTCTAAGGTTAGCAATTTTTTTGCAGGCCTTATGTTTCTCTGCAGAATAATGAAATAAATCACTATATTTATGGGGTGTCTTTTGTTCTTTAAAGACCTCTAAGTACTGTAATTTCACAATATGTGTGCTATCTACAAATTGTTCTAGTTATTGCTTTGCAGTGTTGCATTTGCTGAGTAACTTCATTAAATAGCTACATTGTGCTTGCAAAACATACCCAGGATCTGTGATTATTTTTTTAAAAGCATAGGCATTTGATGATAAGGCCAGATTTAGATAGGGTGAATGCAGTTACCTTAACTGTAAACAACCTTTCTCTGAAGCCAATGATGCTATTGCTACCAGTGAGCTGAGAAGGTTGGAGTTGAAGATACTTGCTTTCTGTCCTCTCTCTCCCATTGATTTATTAAGTGAGCTTCACCAAATCACCTAAGGTGCTGCTCACTCCTGCTTTGCCTCTTTCTGAAAGAGACATGGTTGCTATAATGTCACAGTATTGCATTATGCGGGCCATTTAAAGCTGAGATTTTGAGAAGAATGTCTTGGTGCAGGCATGTGTGCACTGACTTTTTGTAGAAGATTGACAGATCTTATGTGAAGTTGTTATTATGCCTTGTAATAAATAAATAAGCACATAAAAATAAATAAAAGTACCTGCTTTCCTTTGGGAAACAGTGCTGCAAATTAGCATGCTTTCAATATTTCAATAAACAAGCGATGGAAATAGATGTGCATAAAGTTGACCAAAAATGAAAAAAGACCCATTGTGATAAATCTGACATATATACATTGGCTCTGGTAAAAATATACATATTATATTAAAATAAATTGGTTCCAGGGGCAGTCTCAACCACTTACTAGCAGAGAGACCTTTGAGCAACTTTATCTTTTTGAGACAGGGTTGTGAAAGAATTAAATGAGACACTATATTTGAGGCAAAGTCTACTTCATGAGTATATGACCTGTGCATTTGCATGTGGATCCACCATCCAAAGGGCCTCACCATTGGTTTAATGCTGCGCTCTCAACATCTTAATATTCTCCATACTTCCTGAACAAGGGGCAGTGCATTTTTATTTTGCATTGGACCGAGAAATTTTTTAGCTGGTTCTGGCACCTAGCGCCAGCATGGTGCAATAGAATCCTTTCACACAGGGCTATTTCTTATCTTCTTTCCTGCTGGAGTCCCTGTGTTCTGCTGTTACCCTTGAATTTGCCACTGCTGAAGACTCAGGCCGCAGAAGCTTCTTTGGGCACTTGTCAGGAGCCTGTTGCTGTAGGAGCTGTTACAACCAGGCTCTATGCCTTTGCAACCAACATGCCAACAACAGCATTGGGCAACCTTCTTTAGTCCCACTATCGAGGTAGGAGGAAGAGTGTTGGGTGTGTTCACTCACATCACATAGTAGGGAGAGAGATACCCAACAAATGTTTGTTGGGTATTAGCTTTGCCAAGGGCTGGACATACAAGGAGGGACACAAGTCCCTGTCCTTTCAGTGAGTTTTTTTGGTAATAAGGAAACAGGAGACATGTTCAAGGAAGAACCACTGCATAAGAAAGCTATGGAAGTTCTCTGTACATGGTGCAGAAATAAACATGGCAAGAGTGGGTTCCACCTGTGTCGGGTCGCAGCTCAAAAGAGGAGTTTCCTGTGGAAATTATTAGACTGGTGACTGAGTCTGTAATTTTAGTTGCAGAGTTCAGAATAAATAGGCTTTTGAGAGCTGACCCAAAAACCATACCTATAACATTGATTTTGGGAGGAAATGCCTTCTGAGTTGTAAATAATTGTAAATGGGTAATCTACAAGTCAGCATTTGAGCCATAATCCATTTCTGAATAATGTTTGATGGAAAAAAGTCTCAGCTGGGCACAGTGGCTCACCTCTGTAATCCCAGCACTTTGGGAGGCTGAGGCAGGCAGATCACGACGTCAGGAGTTCGACACCAGCCTGACCAACATAGTGAAACCCTGTCTCTACATTTACATATATATATATATATATATATATATATATATATATATATAAATATAAATATATATAAATTAGCTAGATGTGGTGGTGCATGCCTGTAATCCCAGCTACTCAGGAGGCTGAGGCAGGAGAATAGCTTGAACCTGGGAGGCGGAGGTTGTGGTAAGTGGAGATCGCACCATTGCACTCCAGCCTGGGCAACAAGAGTGAAACTCCTTCTCAAAAAAAAAAAAAAAAAAAAAATCTCATGGAATCTTTGACATCAAACAGCCATAGAGTCTCACTTACCATTTGAAAGATTATAGCTTAAAAAACATTCAGTATCTAATGCTGTATATTTTCAAATAGAATACTAGTGATTTGGAAACTACATGGCAAAATAAAACATTTACATTTCAGAAAAGCTATCAGAGTCCAAGTTCTTATGAGGTAAGGAACTGTAATTTACTAAATGACAATCTTTTTCAACTTTTTAAATGGGAGATAAATTATAATTGGTGTCACTGCTTGCCAGGGCTCCATTACATATCCTGACCACATCACTGGAACATAAAATGTGTCATTCCCTTTGCAAATCCTGGTGACATAAATGAGAACATCTCTGAGCTGTGGACTAATCTCCCCTGTCATAATCAGAGGGGTTTGTTCCTCCAGAAAGTAGGAATGCACTGTAACAATTTTTATAGTATATGATAGAACATTACAAATAATTTACTTGTAACCTTTACATACTCAGAAATTTAAAATTACCTTAAATTTCATTTTGTAATAACTTGCTTGTCTACTATTAAAATGCTGATTTTTATCCAGGTGAAGTTGATTGATTCAGTGTGTCAACTTGTACCTATCTCTTTGGAGTCTTTCCAGATATTAAAAGCGTTATCTTTTATGTAATTATGTACAGTGCTACACTTGAATTCTGGGAGTTATTTGTTTAGATTTTGCTAGTCAGTACTACATCAAATGTATTGTCTGAATGTTAATGCCTGTAGTCATGAACTGCTCCTTTATTTTATCCATCTAGGTCCTCCTAGCCAGCAGTTTTGTGCCCATTTATGCAGGACTGAAGCCAGTGGAATACAAAGGGCAGGTAAAGTTGTAATCACTGAGGAGTTACTGTCCTCCCTATATTAATATGTTTCTTTTGAAACATCCAATTTCATAAGTATTCTAATGGCTCCAAATCGGTTTATGTGTTTTTTCCTCATAAATAGCTTTGTTTCTCTTTAAAGGGAAAAAATACAGGGCTAGTGGTAACTTATCATCAAGATCTCGTGTATGGGAATGATTGTGATGCTCTTATTTTCATCTTTAAAATATTATATATACACATATGTATGTCTTTTTGTTGTTGTTGTTACAGTGAACGATTTCTTTTTTCCACCTAGTAAAGTCCTACTCACAGCCCCTTCTAAGCAGAGTTGTACCACCGTCAGGGTGGGAAAGGGCTTCAGGGCTCCACACCTTGTCTTCCCCCAGACAAGACAGCATAGTTTCTTTCCAGCCTGCCCTCAGCCCCTCTGCTGGGAGACGACCCACTCCTCTCCAAGGCTCTCTACTTACCCAGACACGTTGATCACTGCAAGGCCGAAACCCATTTTGTTTGAGGAGAGTATTCCTCACTTAGGGCGGGTACTTAAGACAGGATGCCAGTTCTTTCAGGGAAATTTAGACATGGGCATCCATCTAAAGTCTACGCTGAGTGTGACCCAGCTTCCTTCTGTGATCTACGCAGAGTTTTTTCTGAGTGTTCACTATTCTACCCGAGGCAGCTCGTCTACTGCATTCAACATGAGCATTTTATTCTCAAATATGGTGTCTATTTCACACATGCCACAGACATGTATTTATAACCAAATATAGTATCTATTTAACATATACCAGATACATGCATTTTATAATTAGATACAGTAGCTATTTAACAGGCACTGGAGATATGTATTTTATAATCAAATAGAGTATCTGTTTAGCATATACCAGAGATATGCATTTTATAATCAAATGCAGTATCTCTTTAACACATACTAGAAATATGCGTCTTATGATCAAATGGAATAGCTATTTAACACATACAAGAGTTATGTATTTTGTAATCAAATAGAGAATCTGTTTAGCACATACCAGAGATATGTATTTTATAATCAGTTATCTAACACATACTAGAGATATGTATTTTTAATCAAATATAGTACCTTTTTAACACACTCCAGAGATATATATTTTATAATCAAATAGAGTAGATATCTAGCACATACCAGAAAGATATATTTTATAATCAAATAGGGTATCTGTTTAGCATATACCAGAGATGTGTATTTTATAATTACAGTATCTGTCTAACACATACCAGACGTATGTATTTTTTAATCAAATATAGTACCTATTTAACACATGCCAGAGATACATGTTTTATAATCAAATAGAGTAGATATTTAACACATAGCAGAGATACATATTTTATAATAAAAGAAAGTATTTATTCAGCATATATCTAATAAAATATCTATTTAGCATACATCAGAGGTCAGGCATATATTCAGGATGAACAAATTACATTTGTTTTATATATATGTAATATTTATTTTTTTTGTATTTTTTTATTGCATTTTAGGTTTTGGGGTGCATGTGAAGAACATGCAAGATTGTTGCATAGGTACACACATGGCAGTGTGATGTGCTGCCTTCCTCCCCCTCACCTGGCATTTCTCCCCATGCTATCTCTCCCCAACTCCCCACCCTCCGCTGTCCCTCTCCTATTTCTCCCCTATAGACCCCAGTGTGTGATGCTTCCCTCCCTGTGTCCACGTTTTCTCACTGTTCAACACCCACCTATGAGTGAGAACATGTGGTGTTTGATTTTCTGTTCTTGTGTCAGTTTGCTGAGAATGATGGTTTCCAGGTTCATCCATGTCCCTACAAAGGACATGAACTCATCGTTTTTGATGGCTGCATAGTATTCCATGGTGTAATATATATTTATTAATAAAAGAGTACATACAAAGTGCTTTAACCATCACTCATTCATTCATTCATTCACCCACGCAGTTTGAGGGCCCAGCACTAGGCCTGTGCTTATGGAATTGACAGTCTCACAATAAAAGAACTGAGTTTTACAAACCCTTTGGCTAATGTAATTGAGGCAGTGTCTCTGTTCTCATTTCGTCAGTACTCATGATTGTCTTTCCTTGAGCACTCCTGAACTTTGGATTTTTTCTTTTTTCTCCAGTGCAAATCATAACAGGCTTCAGGTAATATGGAGAACATATGTTTTGATACAGCAGAAGGTAATGGGTTGAGAATGAGTGGTAGAATTCCATCTATTCAAATACTGTCATTTGAAATACTTAATGAAATGTCAAATTGACAAGTAAAATTACTTTTCCATGTAGTAAATTACAATATTTTTCCTCCATGTTCCTATTACACCAGTCTCTTACTTAAAAATTAAGTGTTTCTATCTTAAAAGGAGAGGCGGGGGATAGAGGCTCCAGGTTCTCTTACAATATACACTTTCTTCTTTGTTCATAACAGAATCCCAATTTTTATGTGGACCTATGGTTGTGTAGCTAGGTTATGTATCCCAGCTTCCCTTGAAGTTAGGTATGGCCATTTATTTAATTGTTGGGCAATGACATGTGAGCCGAATAACTGTGGGACTTAACGGTACGAGGAAGGTTATACACCTTTCCATTTTTCCTGTTGCCCAGAACTTAGATGTGATTACTGGAGCTACTGAAGCTGTTGTGCATCATGAGGTCAAGGATCACTCCCTGAAGATGGCCAAATAGTCATCTGGAAATACCCAGGTCCTAAATGATTTGAGGAGTCTACTTTCCCAGTCTGCCTTCGATATTCCTGTTACCAGAAAAAATAATTAAAGCTTTTGTTACTATTGTATTCACCAGAATGCAATCCCATCTACTGTAGGGATTCTTACTTCCAATTTTACATGTGAGGAAATTGAGATGTAGAGACATCAATCTACTTCACCAAAGTCATGGAACTTGGAAGCGGGCAACTTCCCCAGGATGGTCCTTAATGTTTCTATCTTTGCTGTGCCTCTTGCTCCACTTTGCCCTTCAGTTCTTTTCAAACAATGCATTCCTCATTTTCTTCCTGTCCAGCCCCAGTGCCACATTGTGGCTGTGTGACAGGAAGAACAGCAATGTTTAAAAGGGCACAAGTGAGGTATCTGAGTTTCTAGCGAACTTTCCATGATGTGATTGCGTGCTTTGGACATGAACATAGAGTGACAGCCACAGTTAGACAGCAGGGAATGCACAGGCCCAGAGCTGTGAGGAAGATGGAAAGTGACCCACCCAAGCCCCTTGACCCTGGACAATGTCCCAGGACCGTGTCTTGCTGATCATGTGGTGTCTGTGCATAGGAGGCATATCATAATTACTTGTCTAGTTGAACTTTATGTCTCCTGAAAGCATTCAGTTTTCCTCTGTTGTTTAATGGAGTCTGCAAAAAGGGGTCCCCACGCACATGATTGACAGAGAGTCACAGCAGCCTTGCATTGTTTATAACACCGGAAAGCAACAATTTACAAGTGCCATTCTCTGCTTAACACTAGCTCTCCTTAAGCCCAATCACCTCCCACAGTCTAATAGGGTTTCCATGCCAAGTTGTTTTCTAGAATCTTTCCTTTCCATTTTCAGGGAAGTATCAATGTTGCTTTAAATGCAGTGTTTTACTGTGGGTATAAACTTTTTATGTGATTTAAATTACATTAAAATTTCAGTTGTGCTGAATATGTATCTCATTTTCTAGATTTTAATGTTTTCATAGAGTTCAGGTTTTGATGTATTTGTTGTCTGTGGTTGTTTTTCTGAAGTGAGGAAGGTAGAGGTGGCAGAAGGGAAAAAAGTGACTTAGTGTTACTTATATTTGTGGCACTGAGTTGGGAAAGTGGAACTCAGCCAACAGGGGCAGAGTCTATTCTCTTCACTTGTGACTTTTGTTAAATGCATAGACCTCCTCATTTCTACATTGCGAGTATTACTAGATTTCGTTAAGATATATTTGTGGATCCAATATGTGCATTAATTTTTTTTATTAATCACTTAGAAGTATTGTACTTTAATAACACTTAAGCTTAACTTCAGTCACAGCAAATACTAGTATGAGTCCTTTCAAAGTCCTCTACCAGTGGTTTAAGAGGAATGATATCTTTGAAAATTGCTCTTTTTTTTTTTTTTAACCTGGGCAACATGGAAAAACCCCATCTCCACAAAAAAAATACAAAAATTAGCCAGGCATAGTAGCATGTACTTGTAGTCCCAACTACTTTGGAGGCTGAGGTAGGAAGATCACCTGAGCCTGGGGATGTTGAGGCTGCAGTGAGCTATGATCACACCATCACACTCCAGCCTAGGCAACAGAGTGAAAACCTGCTTCAAAAAAAAAAAAAAAAAAAGAAAGAAAGAAAGAAAGAAAAGAAAACTGCTTTTTAAAAAATATCATTTAAAACCCTTCTGTAGCTTTCTCTGGCTTCATCTTATGACTATTTAAGTACGTTACTTAAAGTACATACTCGTTAATAGATGAATCATTGAATGAATGGAAATAAATTGAAGTTTAGTCTTATATTTTTCAGTAATGATTTTTCTTTACTATATATGGACTTTTTCCAATGGTAGAATAAGTCACAGGAATGTTCATACATTTAAGCCATGTTTTCACAGATTCTTGTCAATTTGGAATAAGAATGAGAATTTTCAAGAGGAATTCTTAACTCATTTGTTTTAAGAGATAGAATTAGCATTGGTGGGTGACTAAAATATCAGAATAGAATCATCTCCAGAACTGGCAGATGCAGATCAGAAGAAAAGTTCTAGGATTGGCCGGGCGCAGTGGCTCATGCCTGTAATCCCAGCACTTTAGGAGGCTGAGGTGGGCGGATCACCTGAGGTCAGGAGTTCAAGACCAGCCTGGCTAACATGGTGAAACCCTGTTTCTGCCAAAAATACAAAAAATTAGCCGGGTGTGGTGGCACACATCTGTAATCTCAGCTACTTGGGAGGCTGAGGCAGGAGAATCGCTTGAACCCAGGAGGTGGAGGTTGCAGTTAGCTGTGATCGTGCCATTGTACTCCAGCTTGAGCAACAAGAGCAAAACTCTGTCTAAAAAAAAAAAAGAAGAAGAAGAAAGAAAAAAGAAAAGAAAAGCTATAGGATTTTGCATTGTTTGCTTTCGTTTGAGTTGGAATTCAATTAATATTTTGACTCTGTAGTATTACAAGATCGCTTCTTGGCCTTTTAGCTAAGTTTAAGTGAATAGTATTCAGGAACATGAAAATGCCCCATTGTATTACCCTAGTCCATGTGGCTTTGACATTATGGTCATTTATGCTTTCATTATTGCAACTTCTGTTGGAAAGAGAATTGTGGAATACTCCATATAACTGTGCTTTTCTGTTAGGTTGATCCTGTGCTCCTTAGGCTCCTATTTCCTCATTGCTTACACTTTCTCCATGGAAATGCAGCTCTGTCACTGTCATAGCAAACAGTGGTAGCTGGCCTTGCCACCAGCTAGATTTGGCTGGATGGAAACCTGGATATAAATTTCTAGTTATTCTGAAATAGATTCTCTTATTTTTCAGTGACTTTTTAGACTTTTCGCATTGTCTGTTTAATTTTTGAAACAACATTGTAGTCCTCCAGGAAATATTTTCTATATGGTGTTTATAGATGGTCAACTGCTAAGTAACCTTTTAGAGCCTTGTCAAAATTAGATATCTGGAGTCATCATTTTTAGTCATCCTTCATGAATGCAAAAACCAAGAAAGCAATGCACCAAGAATCAATACTTAGTAGAGGTTAGTATGGCAGATTTCTCAACCTCTCTTTTGAAATTGTATTTTTTTTTGTCTTTCTTTCATTAGAAAACCTCATGTATCTCTTCTCCCTACCATAATTGGGAGATTCTAACCTGTGTCCAAGGAGATGGGTATCTCTTTGTCTCTTTCCCTCCTATTTTAGGAATTGCTAATCAATAGCATCATTGGGTGTTGCTATCTGTAGGCTATCTCATGAAAGCAATGGAGATATGATTGCAAATATGAAATTATTGTTCAAACCACATTTACTTCTCTCTCATTCCTCAGAAATCAGTTCTCATTTGCCTTGCCTATAGAGCATCCCTGAATTTTACAGTGTGTGAGGAAAAAAATCTGAAGTAAAAAGATAACTCTATCCCTTTTTGCCTGTATATTCTATAGCAGTACATATTTTATTCTCTGTAAAGTATCAGATAGTAAATACTTTCAGCATTTTCTCTGTCAACACACCTACTCAACTCTGCTATTGTAGAGGGAAGCAGCCGCAGGCAATATCTAAACAAAAGGTCCTGGTCATGTGCAAGTAAAACTTTATTTACAGAAGATGGCTGGCCAGCCATAGTTTACCGCTTCGTGAACTATAGCAAGGAAACCACAAACCTCAATTTCCTCTTCTGAAACATGAGGGAACTGAATATATGAGCATGACCTTTCTACCTTATACAGTTCTTGCAAAGTGCGTATTAAATTATACATGTGAGATCACTTTTAAACTATTAGACCCTGTGCCGTGGTATTTATAATACTTACAGATAGCAACATTTCATTCTTTCTTCCTGCAAAGTATTTTTTATTCACTTGTTTTTTGAGCAAAATATACCTTAAGAAAATGGAGCCCTTCACTGAAGTTTTATCACAAACATATTCCCAGCATCTACCACACATCCAGACACATGCTGGATACTTAGGGATCTCTTGCTGAAAGAACAAACTGGCCCTTTCAGTAGAGGTTAACTTGTCAGGTCCTTTAACTTTTCCACTTATATTATATAATAGCAGTTACTTGAATTCATAAGATATGTTCTCAATAGGTACCCATAACACATCAATGTATAAAGCAAAGTTTAACAAGTACTGCCAGATGAATATTCTCACCTGTTTAGGTGTAACGGGTGAACTTACCTCTTTAGAAGTGATTCCATGAATTCTAGTTTTCAGTGCTGTAACTTTCAGAGAACAATCACAGTAGATGTCTGCCCCACAATTGGGCATGAGGTTTTTGTTTTGTTTCTGTTTTGTTTTTCTGTTGAGCAGTTGCTCATTTCTATCTCTAGGACTCAGGCATTGACTTGAATGTGGAACACACTTAAAATATGGTCAAAGATTAAAGAACAGTTGGTCTAGCAGTGGAACTGAGAGGTGGTCACTGGACGGCCTGTAGCAAGCATGATTTTGAAACTATTTTGCTCTGGAATTTTTATGTACTTGCCCTCCCTTTTCCTTTGAGGATGATGGTGTTATGTGTGAAAACTGACAAACATACGAGAAAACTCTAATGGGGGAGACTGGCAGTTGTTTTTCTTAAGGACAATTTTGGAGTCACAGAAGCTCATGAAAGTAGCTACCAGCATGTAGAATGCTGCCCATGAAGCAAGAAGGTGGGAGTGACTCACAGCAATATGTTGTGAACAGCCAGAGAATTCATGGACAGAAGTATTTACTATGCAAGATTTTAAATTATCAGTAGAGCATAAGATATAAAATGTTTCCACTTTTAATTTGGAGATCGAAGAATTTGTTGTTGTGATGGTTGTTTCCAGAAACTTTGCTAAAATCTTCATGCCCGAATGAATATGTGGTTGTCCTGAGTGATACAGTTAATGAGAGCATAAATCAGGGGTAAGAGGTACCACATTTAGCATATCTGAGCAGTGGGGCTATAGCATCAAGGGTTGTGAAGGAGCTAGTATCATTGCAGGTTTAATCAAGTGATTTGATAAGCTGCTATACATCTTCCCTTGTCATTTATCTAATCAGAATAAGCTAACAAGAGTGAACAGAATTTGGAAAAAGGATTTTCGATTCCCTGAAACAGCAGTCATTAACCCCACAGTAAATTAGAATGCTTTTCAACTTAATGAGCCAGATTGCCCTTCTTTTCATTAAGTTGAATAAATCAGAAGAGCTGTTACTTAAAGTTGTATATCTTTAATTTTTCTTGATGAAACCTATATGAATTTTTACATCATTGATGACAGCTTCTGTTGACAACATGAAACAATTTTGGAAGCTGTCTTTTTTTTCCCCTTCTGGGTATTATCCTATTCCAGAATTTGATATTTACACCTAAAGCAATCAGGGAAAAAAAGCAAGTTCTGGGACAGAATCAGATATTTTGGAGCCTTTTTTTGCAAGCCTCCCTTTTAGATTATACATTTATATAACCAGCTATATTTTATGTATACATATGGGTACATATATAAACACAAATAAATGCACAAACACATAATATACATGCATATACACATACATATATGAATAAGTATATGTAATGTAATACACATAAAACATAATATATCATAATTTTTATATTCTTTTAAAAATAATGACAATATGCAAATTATCCAGGTCAGTTTTATTTTAATCCAATCTACTTATACTCTTTCTTCCACCAAAATGCAATTCTCTCAAAAGGAATTTTCAACCCATTTTTATCTTTTGTTTACTTTTATTTCCTTTAGAGGGGCTTATGGCTGGCCAGAGCCTTTGTAAATAATGCAATACCACTCACTTTGTCACTAGCTTTAGAAATAAACACAAATGAGAAGGACATGAAAAAGACACACGGGAAGAAATGAATACATGGTTTTAAGTAAGTTGAAAACATTTTATTTTGGCCTGTTTCTCCCCTTCATGCCACTTTTATGTTGAATAACAAATGTTTTATCTGCACTGCGTTTTATACGTTCAAGCAAAACTCAGTTTACAAACTTCACTAAAGATTCCTGCATACAGGACTCTTAACCGTTACCAGACTTTTTTTTTTTGGTATATTATCTGAAAGCCATTTTTAATAACAGATATAAGTTAGACAATTTGGACATTATTTCCATGTGTGTGTTTATTGATTGCTGTAGCTGATCATGTGAATACATCAGATCATGGCTGCATTGAAACTGGCCTTGGAATAGACAGCAAAAGGGATATTGCCTGTATGGATCTTCTGTTACCATTTCTCAGTGTGCATTTCTGTAGAGCTCAGGGCCGAGGCTGCACACACCTTGAGCACCTTATTGTCCATCCTCATTGCCCCATGACTGTTTCATTTTCTTCCTTGGGAGGCTTCTCTCCTCCACCTTCTCCATCACTCACTCCCCTTTGGGGTAGACTTGAGAGTACTGAATACCTACTGAGGAATATGTGTTTTTTATGTAGCACTCCCATTCTTTATGGCTTTAGGACATACACCTTACTTCAAGAGCACAGGAACCACTTTGGAATTAGAAGCATTTCTAGTTGCTGTGTTTACTTTTTAAGTTTGTCACAGAAAATGCCAGTTTCCAATTATTATGATAAAAATGGAACTTTCTCTGGTGGTGGATATTTTGTTCACCATCCACAGTAAATCTGACTTTTTAATTTGATTAAATAATGAGCCCCAATCTAATTATACATGGCTTCTTAGGCCTGCACTCTAATCAGTAAGAATTCAAGTCTTACAGACAATAATCTAGTTAAAGCTTTTAAACATTTGGAGAGATATCTCGATTCTGTCTAGAGCTTTTTTTATATTGGTAAGTGATATGTGTACCAAGATTTGTTTTACACCCAAAACAGATCCCCAGTGGGAATAGTCCTTTAAAATGCCAGTTAAACAGCATATCCAAGTTACACATATTATTAGAAGCTGCTTTTCTTTGCCCAGTATGTGTTGTTGACATGTGCTGATGTGGGATGTTTCTTTCCACAGAAGTGGGTGGACGGAGGATTCACCAACAGTCTTCCCATCCTGCCCGTTGGCCGGACAGTGACCATCTCCCCCTTCAGTGGACGACTGGACATCTCCCCACAGGACAAAGGACTTCTGGATCTGTATGTTAATATCGCCAAGCAGGATATCATGGTGAGTAATTATGTTCAGTAGTATTTGAAGAGTCCTGGTCTACTAAAAATTCCCACAGAATTCAACGTGTTTCCTAAGGACGGGAAGCTCATTGATAATTGTAGGTAGGAGTTTCATCTTCTCCATATTGTGTTGTTTAATACTTTACAACGTGTATCAGGCATTGAGACTTGGGTTCCTATGGACTGTTAGCATTAAGTCTTTTTGCTGCTTTTATTTTTTTATTTTTTATTTTTTTTTATTGCATTTTAGGTTTGGGGGTACATGTGAAGAACATGCAAGATTGTTGCATAGGTACACACATGGCAGCGTGGTTTGCTGCCTTCCGTCCCCTCACCTGTATCTGTCATTTCTCCCCATGCTATCTCTTCCCACCTCCCCACCCCCACCCCTCCCCCATTTCCCCCCAACGGACCCCAGTGTGTAGTGCTCCCCTCTCTGTGTCCATGTGTTCTCATTGTTCAACACCCACCTATGAGTGAGAATATACGGTGTTTGATTTTCTGCTCTTGTGTCAGTTTGCTGAGAATGATGGTTTCCAGGTTCATCCATGTCCCTACAAAGGACGTGAACTCATCGTTTTTGATGGCTGCGTAATATTCCATGGTGTATATGTACCACATTTTCCCTATCCAGTCTATCATCGTTGGGCATTTGGGTTGGTTCCAGGTCTTTGCTATTGTAAACAGTGCTGCAATGAACATTCGTGTGCACGTGTCCTTGTAGTAGAATGATTTATAATCCTTTGGATATATACCCAGTAATGGGATTGCTGGGTCAAATGGGATTTCTATTTTTAGGTCCTTGAGGAATCGCCACACTGTCTTCCACAATGGTTGAATTAATTTACATTCCCACCAACAGTGTAAAAGTGTTCCTATTTCTCCACATCCTCTCCAGCATCTGTTGTTTCCAGATTTTTTGATGATTGCCATTCTAACTGGTGTGAGATGGTATCTCAATGTGGTTTTGATTTGCATTTCTCTAATGACCAGTGATGATGAGCATTTTTTCATATGTTTGTTAGCCTCCTGTATGTCTTCTTTTGTAAAGAATCTGTTCATATCCTTTGCCCATTTTTGAATGGGCTTGTTTGTTTTTTTCTTGTAGATCTGCTTTAGTTCTTTGTAAATTCTGGATATCAGCCCCTTGTCAGATGGGTAGACTGCAAAAATTTTTTCCCATTCTGTTGGTTGCTGATTCAATCTACTGACTGTTTCTTTTGCTGTGCAGAAGCTGTGGAGTTTGATTAGGTCCCATTTGTCTATTTTGGATTTTGTTGCCATTGCTTTTGGCATTTTGGTCATGAAGTCCTTGCCTACACCTATGTCCTGAATGGTTTTGCCTAGATTTTCTTCTAGGGTTTTTATGGTGTTAGGTCTGATGTTTAAGTCTTTAATCCATCTGGAGTTAATTTTGGTGTAAGGTGTCAGAAAGGGGTCCTGTTTCTGCTTTCTGCACATGGCTAGCCAGTTTTCCCAACACCATTTATTAAACAGGGAGTCCTTTCCCCGTTGCTTGTTTTTGTCAGGTTTGTCAAAGATCAGATGGTTGTGGGTATGTTGTATTTCCTCTGAGGCCTCTGTTCTGTTCCATTGGTCTATATCTCTGTTTTGGTACCAGTACCATGCTGTTTTGATTACTGTAGCCTTGTAGTATAGTTTGAAGTCCGGTAGTGTGATGCCTCCTGCTTTGTTCTTTTTGCTTAGAATAGACTTGGCTATGCGGGCTCTCTTTTGGTTCCATATGAAGTTTAAGGTGTTTTTTTCCAGTTCTGTGAAGAAGGTCATTGGTAGCTTGATGGGAATAGTGTTGAATCTGTAAATTACTTTGGGCAGTATGGTCATTTTCACGATGTTGATTCTTCCTAACCATGAACATGGAATGTTTCTCCATCTGTTTGTATCCTCTCTTATTTCATTGAGTAATGGCTTGTAGTTCTCCTTGAAGAGGTCCTTTACGTTCCTTGTTAGTTGTATTCCTAGGTATTTTATTCTTTTTGTAGCAATTGTGAATGGCAGTTCATTCTTGATTTGGCTCTCTTTAAGTCTGTTACTGGTGTATAGGAATGCTTGTGATTTTTGCATGTTGATTTTGTATCCTGAGACTTTGCTGAAGTTGTTTATCAGTTTCAGGAGATTTTGGGCTGAGATGATGGGGTCTTCCAGATATACAATCATGTCATCTGCAAATAGAGACAATTTCATTTTCTCCTTTCCAATTTGGATACCCTTTATTTCTTTTTCTTGCCTGATTGCTCTGGCTAGAACTTCCAGTACTATATTGAATAGGAGTGGTGAGAGAGGGCATCCTTGTCTAGTGCCAGATTTCAAAGGGAATGCTTCCAGTTTTTGCCCATTCAGTATGATATTGGCTGTTGGTTTGTCGTAAATAGCTTTTATTGTTTTGAGATACGTTCCATCAATACCTAGTTTATTGAGGGTTTTTAGCATAAAGGATTGTTGAATTTTGTCAAAAGCCTTCTCTGCATCAATTGAGATAATCATGTGGTTTTTGTCTTTGGTTCTGTTTATGTGGTGAATTACGTTTATGGACTTGCGTATGTTGAACCAGCCTTGCATCCCCGGGATGAATCCTACTTGATCATGGTGGATGAGCTTTTTGATATGCTGTTGCAATCGGTTTGCCAGTATTTTATTGAAGATTTTTGCATCTATGTTCATCATGGATATTGGCCTGAAATTTTTTTTTCTTGTTGAGTCTCTGCCGGGTTTTGCTATCAGGATGATGTTTGTCTCGTAAAATGATTTGGGAAGAATTCCCTCTTTTTGGATTGTCTGGAATAGTTTCAGAAGGAATGGATCAGCTCCTCTTTGTATGTCTGGTAGAATTCAGCTGTGAACCCATCTGGACCTGGGCTTTTTTTGGGTGGTAAGCTCTTTATTGCTGCCTCTACTTCAGACCATGTTATTGGTCTATTCAGGGTTTCGGCTTCTTCCAGGTTTAGGCTTGGGAGGATGCAGGTGTCCAGGAATTTATCCATTTCTTCCAGGTTTACTAGTTTATGTGCGTAGAGTTGTTTGTAATAATCTCTGATGATGGTTTGGATTTCTGTGGAATCTGTGATGATATCCCCTTCATCGTTTTTTATGGCATCAATTTGGTTATTCTCTTTTTTCTTTTTTATTAATCTGGCTAGTGGTCTATTTTGTTGATCTTTTCAAAAAACTAGCTCCTGGATTTATTGATTTTTTGAAGAGTTTTTTGTTTCTCTATTTCCTTCAGTTCTGCTCTGATCTTAGTTATTTCCTGTCTTCTGCTAGGTTTTGAGTTTTTTTGATCTTGCTCCTCTAGCTCTTTCAATTTTGATGATAGGGTGTTAATTTTAGATCTCTCCTTTCTTCTCATTTGGGCACTCATTGCTATATATTTTCCTCTAGAGACTGCTTTAAATGTGTCCCAGAGATTCTGGTATGTTGTGTCTTCGTTCTCATTGGTTTCGAAGAACATCTTTATTTCTGCCTTCATTTCATTGTTTATCCAGTCAACATTCAAGAGCAAGTTGTTCAGTTTCCATGAAGCTGTGCGGTTCTGAGTTAGTTTCTGCATTCTGAGTTCTAACTCGATTGCACTGTGGTCTGAGAGACTGTTTGTTATGATTTCTGTTCTTTTGCATTTGCTGAGGAGTGATTTATTGCCAATTATGTGGTCAATTTTAGAGTAGGTGTGATGTGGTGCTGAGAAGAATGTATATTCTGTGGATTTGGGGTGGAGAGTTCTGTAAATGTCTATTAGGTTTGCTTGTTCCAGGTCTGAGTTCAGGTCCTGGATATCCTTGTTGATTTTCTGTCTGGATGATCTGTCTAATATTGACAATGAGGTGTTAAAGTCTCCCACTATTATTGTGTGGGAGTCTAAGTCTCTTTGTAAGTCATTAAGAACTTGCCCTATGTATCTAGGTGCTCCTGTATTGGGTGCGTATATATTTAAGATCGTTAGCTCTTCTTGTTGCAGTGATCCTTTTACCATTACGTAAAGTCCTTCTTTGTCTCGTTTGATCTTTGTTGCTTTAAAGTCTATTTTATCAGAGATGAGAATTGCAACTCCTGCTTTTTTTTTTTTTTGCTCTCCATTTGCTTGGTAGATCTTCCTCCATCTCTTTATTTTGAGCCTTTGTGTATCCTTGCATGTAAGATGGGTTTCCTGGATACAGCACACTGATGGGTTTTGGCTTTTTATCCAATTTGCCAGTCTGTGTCTTTTGATTGGGGCATTTAGTCCATTGACCTTTAGGGATAGTATTGTTATGTGTGAATTTGATACTGTCATTTTGATGCTACCTGGCTGTTTTGTTGTTTGGTTGATGCAGCTTCTTGATTGTGTTGATGCTCTTTTACCATTTGGTGTGTTTTTGGAGTGGCTGGTACTGGTTGTTCCTTTATAAGTGTAGAGCCTCTTTCAGGAGTTCTTGTAGAGCAGGTTTGGTGGTGATGAAATCTCTGAGTGCTTGCTTGTTCACAAAGGATTTTATTTTTCCTTCACTTATGAAGCTTAGTTTGGCTGGATAGGAGATTCTGGGTTGAAAGTTCTTTTCTTTAAGGATGTTGAATATTGGCCCCCAATCTCTTCTGGCTTGTAGGGTTTCTGCTGAGAGATCTGCTGTGAGTCTAATGGGCTTCCCTTTGTGGGTAACCCAACCTTTCTCTCTGGCGGCCCTTAGCATTTTCTCTTTCATTTCAACCCTGGTGAATCTGACGATTATGTGCCTTGGGGTTGCTCTTCTTGAGGAATCTCTTTGTGGTGTTCTCTGTATTTCCTGGATTTGAATATTGGTCTGCCTTGTTAGATTGGGGAAGTTTTCCTGGATAATATCCTGAAGAGTATTTTCCAGCTTGGATTCATTCTCTACACATTCAGGTATACCTATCAGACGTAGATTAGGTCTTTTCACATAGTCCCACATTTCTTGAAGATTTTGTTCATTCCTTTTTGTGCTTTTTTCTCTGTTCTTGCCTTCTCTTTTTATTTCATTGAGTTGATCTTTGACCTCTGATATCCTTTCTTCGGTTTGGTCCATTCGGCTGTTGAAGCTTGTGCATGCTTCACGAAGTTCTCGTGTTGCGTTTTTCAGCTCCATCAATTCACTTATACTCCTCTCTATGCTGTCCATTCTCGTCAGCAGTTCGTCCAATCTTTTTTCAAGGTTCCTATTTTCTTTGCGTTGGGTTAGAACATGTTCTTTTAGCTCATTGTAGTTTCTTACTACCCACCTTCTGAAGTCTGATTCTGTCATTTCATCACCCTCCTTCTCCATCCGGTCTGGTTCCCTTGCTGGTGAGGAGTTGTGATCCCTTTTAGGAGGAGAGGTGTTCTGGTTTCGGGAGTTTTCATCCTTTTTGTGCTGGTTTCTTCCCATTTTTGTGGGTTTATCCACCTGTTGTCTTTGTAATTACTGTCTTTCAGATTGGGTCTCTGAGTGAGCTTCTAGTTTGTGGATGCTGAAGTTACTTTTTTTTTTTTTTTTTTAAGCTTTCCTTCTAACAGTCTGGCCCCTCTGCTGTAGGACTGCTGAGGTCCTCTCCAGGCCCTGCTTGCCTGGAGATCACCTGGAGCAGCTGCAGAACAGTAAGGGTTGCTGCCAGTTTCGTCTTCTGCTATCTTTGTCCCAGAAGGATGCTCGCCTACTGTCAGTCCGTTCTCTCCTTTATGAGGTGAGTCTTTGGATCTATGGGGTTCAGGGAGCTACTTGAGGAGACAGTCTATCTTTTATTGGGGCTTAAGTCCTGAGTTGTGAGCTCCGTTGTTCGTTCAGAGCTGCTGGGCAGGTATGTTTAAGTCTGCTGCAGCTGGACTCATAAAGCACTTTTTGTTCCCAAGTGCTCTGTCCCAGGGAGTTGGAGCTTTATGAGTTTCCGTTGTACTACTGCCTTTTTTGATTTTTCTTTCAGGTCTGACCCGCCCAGCTAGCAGCAGGCCTAGCCACTGCCTGCCCACAGGGGCTTTGCTGAGCTACTGTGGGCTCCGCCCGGCTGCCCTGAGCTCTTCCCTGCAGTCCTGTTTATATGGGCGTAGTTAGAACTGTCTCTGCAACGGTAGCCCCGCCTCTGTTATGGCGGACTCTCTCTGTTGTGGCAGGTTGCCTCGGCAACGGCAGCCTGCCTCCCTAGCGGTGGAGAGTCTCAGTAATGGCGGAAGCCCCTCCCCCGCCGAGCTGGAGCATCCCGGTTCAGCTGTGCTTGGTTTGAAGGGCTCAACACAGAGGGTTTCCAATTACTGTTTTTGTTTTCGTTGTTGTTGGGGGTGGAGGGGTGGGACCAACCGAGCCTGATCACCTGGCTCCCTGACTCCGAGTCTTTTCTTTTAAGTTGAAGGACCCCGCGTTCCGGTCGCTTTTTGAAAAGGTGCCGGGATCTCCTGTGCTGCGACTCACGGAGTCGGCTCGAACTGCGTTGCTGGCTCCTGGCGGATTTTTTGCCTAGGAATCTCCTGGCCTGACTCGCTATTTCAGATGAATGGGCAACTCTGCCGTCTCAGGGCTCTGCTCGCCAGCTAAGAGGGCTCCCAGACCAGTGGCTTTTGTACGGAGAACCGCGGCAACAGGGAGTAGTCACAGCAGCCGCGCGGGCGGAATCAGCCCCATGGGGGCCAAAACAGCCGCACCGGCTGGGACTGCGACGCTGGCGACCCCTCTGCCTGGGTATCTCCTGGTCTGTGGGCAATAAGAGTTCGTCTGGAAATGCGGCGTCCACTCACCCTCTGCACTTTCACTGGGAGCTGAAGTCCTGCGCTGTTCTTAGGCAGCCATCTTCCCAGCCTGCTGCTTTTATTATTTTTATTTTTATTTTTATCATCCCTCCTACCTTAGCCTCCCAAGTACCTGGGGCTATAGAGGTGTATCACCATGCTGAGCTAATTTTTTTTATCTTTTGTAGAGATAGGGTTTCACTAGGTTGCCCAGGCTGGTTTCAAACTCCCTGGTTCAAGTGATTCTTCTATCTTGGCTTCTCAAAGCACTGGGATTATATACATGCACCATGCATGCCATTTTTGCTGCTTATTAACTGTCACTTCTTTTTCACCACTTATTTTTCACATCAATAAACTTGGTAGGATATCAGAGAATTTTTTTTCTTTGAGACAGGATTTTGCTCTGTTCCCCAGGCTAGAGTTCAGTGGTAAGATCATGACTCACTGCAGCCTTGACCGCCCAGGCTCAGGTAATCCTAGACCTCAGCCTTCCAAGCAGCTGGGACTGCAGGCATGTGCCACCACACTCGATTTCTTTTTTAAAAAATTATTTGCAGAGATGAAGTCTCACTGTTGCCTAGGCTGCTCTAGAACTCCTGGGCTCAAGTGATCCCCTGCCTTGGCCTCTCAACGTGCTGGGATTACAGGCCTCAGCCACCATGCCTGGCCCAGAGCAATTTCAAATAAAATCATTTATTTGCTTAGAAAGTTGGAGGTAATGGAATACATAAAAATAGTGGTGAAAAACTTAGGGACCCAAATGAATAATTGACATAAAAATACCGATTCCCGGCCGGACGCGGTGGCTCAAGCCTGTAATCCCAACAGTTTGGGAGGCCGAGGCGGGTGGATCACAAGGTCAAGAGATCGAGACCATCCTGGTCAACATGGTGAAACCCCGTCTGTACTTAAAATACAAAAAATTAGCTGGGCATGGTGGTGCGTGCCTGCAATCCCAGCTACTCAGGAGGCTGAGGCAGGAGAATTGCCAGAACCCAGGAGACGGAGGTTGCAGTGAGCCGAGATCGCGCCATTGCACTCCAGCCTGGGTAAGAAGAGCAAAACTCCGTCTCAAAAAAAAAAAAAAAAAATACCGATTCCCTTAATCCAGTCTAATAATTTTCCACATGGGATGATACTGTACCCCGACATTTTTGTTTATCATGTCCCATTGTTGCTACTGGTGTTGGTGGGTAGAAGCCAGGAATGGTGTTATACGCCCTTCAGTGCACAGGACTGCCCCATAACTAAAACATCGTGGCCCCAAATGTCAGCAGTACCAAGGCTGAAAAACTCTCCTCTAGTGTATCAGTGGAGGTAACTTCTGAAGTTTAAATTTTTCCTGCTGATTTTTGTGTTATTACTAATTGTATCTGTGATAAGAAAACCTGGATTGTAAATATAGTGTATATTTACCTGTATGGCAATGTCCTATAGGATAAATTTTGGTTTTTCTATTCTAGTTGTCCCTGGCAAATCTGGAGAGACTCAACCAAGCCCTTTTTCCCCCAAGCAAGAGGAAAATGGAATCTTTGTATCAATGTGGTTTTGATGACACTGTTACATTTTTACTTAAAGAAAATTGGTTTGAATAAAATGCTTAAAAGTTTGTAATGCAAAACATGTTTCAGTTTTTGATGGAAGTTTCTAATCAAATCCTTTTCAGAAAATCTATTAAGACTCTCAATTTTATTATTAATCTTTGTAATATTTGTGTTTATTTTAAATATTTGAATTATTACTTAATACAAGGAAATAAGAGGCACTTTATTAGAATTTGACAGTGTTGTTAAGAAGGATACACTTAAGTGATAAGGAATCATTTTTGATGAATAGTCGCGTCCTTTAAAAAATGGAGGAGCATAGGCTCTTTGGGTAAACTGAGGAATGTGGAAAATGGAAGGCCACCACTTAGGTGCCATGGAGAATATGTGGCATGATCTTGACGTGAAGCATGGGTGTGTCCCCGTAGCTCTGGAACTGAAGGAACTAGGCTCTCAGGCTGACTTAGGCCACAGGGTAGGAGAGGAAGGATTTGAGAAATAGGCAACTCATGGTTAAAGACCTTTGATCAGGACTGGAGGAACAAAGGTTTGTGCATTAGTCCATTTTCACACTACTGAGAAAGACATACTCGAGACTGGGCAATTTACAAAAGAAAGAGGTTTAATGGATTCACACTTTCACGTGACTGGGGAGGCAGAAGGTAAAAGGCACGTCTCACATGGCAGCAGACAAGAGAAGAGAACTTGTATACGAAAACTCCCCTTTATAAAACCATCAGATCTCGTGAGACTTATTCACTATCATGAGAAAGTGCGGAAAAGACCCACCCCCATGATTCAATTACCTCTCACTGGGTCCCTTCCATAACATATGGGAATTGTGGAAGTTACACTTAAAGATGAGATTTGGGTGGGGATACAGCCAAACTGTATCCGTTTGCTTTCCACAAGTATGTGCAATGCTCCCAGTTACATTAAGGGTGGATATCCAGAAGACTAGGAAATTTTGAAGAGGCTTATCCCCTCTCATCTTCCCCCCCAAACCCCACCCCCCAGTTTAGGAGATTATCAGGCTGGTTGTCATTCTCTCTCTCTTTCTCTCTCTCTCTTTTACTCTCCCCAAAAGCATACCTCTCTGATTATTTAGCTATTGGTCTATATCAGGCATCCCCAAACTTTTTACACTGAGGGCCAGTTCACTGTCTCTCAGACCGTTGGAGGGCCGCCACATACTGTGCTCCTCTCACTGACCACCAGTGAAAGAGGTGCCCCTTCCTGAAGTGTGGTGGGGGGCCGGATAAATGGCCTCAGGGGGCTGCATGCGGCCCACAGGCTGTAGTTTGGGGACGCCTGGTCTATATACTGGATATACCTATTGTGGGAACTTAAATAGATAAAATACTACTAAACACAAAGAACTAAGTAGCCTAGCAAATAATAATTAGATCCAGAATAATCATTCACTTCTCATTTCTAAATCATGTTGTACTGATCCCAGGTCTTTTACTTTCTGAGTAGTTGTCCATCACTTTGAGGACTTGTGTATGGGCTTGTACTAATTTACTCACACTGTCTTAAATCCTAAATCTGTTTTTATGAGATTTTGCCAAGCATGAACTCTTGATTACTAAGAGACAGTTAAAGACAAACCAATTTAATTGCATGTCTTTAATTGTCATGGATTTCTCCTTTTACCCTTTGAAACTATACTTTGAATCAATTTTATGGTTCTCAGAACCCCAAAATACACAATTTTTACCACATAAACACCAATGATGGCCTCTTTTTGAGGAGTTCTGCACAGACCCACTCTAGAGTAATGATGGTCCTGGTGGTATGTACTTTTTCCTACTCTAGAAAACATGTAGTTTAATCTTTACCTGTTTCCATAAATGACATGAAATGGATGGAGTCTCAATTCATTATTATGTCCACTTATTCACCAGGTAAACTTTCAGTTTTAATACTTTTCTTCTTACCCCTTCCTTTGATCATTTTATATGAATATTCTATTTGTGTGTTACAGTGTATATCAATAAATTCCTTATTGATGTACCCTTAAATTGCAGAAATTTAAGGTGCAAAACCAAATCTCATAGTATAAGACTTTTTTGAAGTATCTTGTATCTACTACATAAGTATTTGACCCTGTGGGTGAATGGTACTCTTCTTTTTAACTTTTATTTTAAGTTCAGGGATATGTGTGCAGGTTTGTTATAGGTAAACTTGTGTCTTGGGCATTTGTTGTAAATATTAATTCATCACCCAGCTGATGTTACTTTTCTTTAAAAATATTGTAAGATCATTGACATATCAGTTGGCAGCAACTTTCTAACAGGGAAATACAGTGATGTAATAATGAAACACATACTTGGTATACACTAGGCATTCTCTGGGGCTGGTACACCAAACTCTCCTGTAAGCATGCCACCAAGCACGCTCTGCTTATCTTTGCTGGAATGTGTGCTCATGCAGCCATGCTAATTGAAAATAGGCATTCACAACAGGATCTGTCTCACTTGTGGGATCAAAATTTTGAGGCATTATAGATCTGGCATATAGAAAATTCGAAAGGACTTTCTGACCCAGATACTGATATGTTTGCAGAGTAATTACTGTGATTGACGGCTTGATAAATTCCCAATTCCCTGTGGGGGCAATTTTCTTATATCTTTGAATCTGTCATTAAAAATGTCATTAGTCTTCCTTTTCTTCTTTTCAATAACATGCTTTACTTTGTAACTATGGTAACCCACTGCTTCCATTGACAATTAGAGAAAATAGATTTGGTTTTGAAGTTAAATAGTGCTCTAAAGGAGCAAGCCATATATTAAAAAAAGAAAGAAAGAAACTGTTAATTCTGGCTTCTCAATGTCAGGTGCAAGGTATGTATACTAGAAGCTTTCAAAGATACAGTCACACCACTCTGGGCATTGACTTTTGATTCTAAACAAGCTTGAACACTCGAAATACACAGATATTAGTGATTAGGCTTCTACGTTTTTTCGGAAGACTAAAAAACATAAATACAATTACATAAAGCATGTTTATATTTATAAATAATTGTCATAAAAAGTTTTTGGATCCAGTCTATTACTTTTACAATTAGGGAGCCAATAACTATGGAAGATCAGTGTTTCAGGATTTTTCTTGCCTAAATTTTGTCTACATGATAGCAAAATAGAATCAAAAGTTGAAGTAATTATCTAAATAACTCAAAGTAGGAAGGAAGACAATTATTGTAGTTCATGAAAAGTGGACAGATTTTTAAACAGTTATCATGATTCTGATTTGCAAATTAACAGTTTCATTGGGTAGAATTCACTATGTATTTGCTCGGCCCTGCACTTCATTTTTTCTCTCAAAGCTCTGCTTACTTAATGCTAACACATGTATTTATTTTTCCTCACACATGTCCCCTAACTCAGTATAATTTCCCCATTTGACTGACTTAGAGGGGAAAAATATGATTTATTTTTTTCATACTTTACAAAGCATTTCTGAGTACACAGTCATGGACAAATCATAATAATATCATATCCAACTTAATCTTGAATTAAAATAATTTGTGAAAAACATGAATATGAACATACTTGCACATAAATATATATGTACATATGCACATGCCTAAAACATGTCACAGCAGCTGCATTTTAACTGTGCCAAGATGAATCAGCATTTATGTAATGCCTGATTTCACTGAGTTTACAAATGCTCTTTAACCTTTATACAGTAAGATCACTTTTGTGGGCAGACCTTGGTAGAGTGCCCCTCCAGTCAATCCAAGAATATCAGCCCTCCCTTGATGGGCTCAATGGCTTTGCAACATGACCTTCCATCTATGGCCAAGCTCATGCTTTTAATTTTTTTTCGGAAGGACCCGCTCTGCAGGTGGATCCCTGATTCATAAACTCTCCCTTGCAAGCTTGGACTTGGGCCATGTGAAGAGTCTACTGGGTACTTTTGTGGATCCCTGCCTTCATAGCGCTCACCTGAGCAACCAAGAAAACAAACATGTGAGATAATTTAGGCCACACAAGCAATGTGAAAGGGCCAGAAAGCTTGAGGAAGGTGCATGGTGGCTGCTTCTCCTTTTGTCTGAAAGTAAGATGTGCTGGTGTCTGTTGCTAGCCAAGACAGGAACTTCACTATTACCCTGTTACTCACCACTCACCTGGACACCTACCACTCACAAGAGGACCCCCTGAAGGAAAGGCTCAGGATAACACATGTCCAAATCCTGAAGTTACTCCAGGAAGAAGGTAAAACCGTCCAAGGAGTGATCACCAGACTTACTGACACTGCAGACACATCAACACTGGGGATGCTTCACAATGTCCCCAAAACTTGGTTCCTGGCAAGGTCATGGAACTAGGCAACTTAGCTCTACTGATCAACCTCAGTCAGAATTATCTCTTGACAATTTCAAATCCAAAGGGGTTACTAGTGTCTATCACTCCCACTGAGGGAAAAGATATGGTCTACTTTGCCATTTCCATTTGCTTCTTCTACTGGCTGAACAGAATCATGGTAATGGATGACTTTATTGTACTTGTCAAGGGGAGATGGATTTGCTGCCATATAATAGGGATAGGAAAGTGCATGAAATTCAGGTAACCCCTCTGGTTTTCCAGTCTATGACCAGCACTAGTGGAATAGTTAGTGGGAAACCATTGCAACCTTATATGGCAGAAGAAAGGGCGCACATCCCTGAGGACCTAAGGTTTGTGTCATGCCACTGGAAGATGGACTCTGATCACCTGACCTGTGCCTGAAAGGGAAGCCACCATGGAACAGAGAATAACTGAGGAAAGCCAATGTCATGTCAGAAATAGTAGCAGCCACAGTGACCTAGGATGGCCAACCTCATGCGAAATAGCTGAGTTTCAGAAGTCTAGTCCCCTACCAGCTGCCAATAGTGGGGACCATTCATATTGTAACCTTCCAGTACCTTGTCTGTGTGACTTAAGATACCCAGAGTTTATTACTTGCTGCTGAAGGACCCCACTTAGATAGAGTCAATGTACACTTAACCCTTGACAAAATGGGTTGAAACTATGAGAGTCCATGTGGATTTTTATGGTAAAAATTAGACCAAGTGTGCCTGCCTCTCCTG